CGAAACATACATTGCTATAAGCCTTATTATATATTATAATATAAAACATGGAGACGTAAAAGAAGAAATTAAAAAGTTTTTCTTCTATTTGCGAAACAGTTATTTTTTGTTATTTATTATTTGTAGATAAGTTTCAATTCCATATTTTAATATAAGTTACAATGTTACAGATTTAGTTACAATCTTAATATTTTTTTTATATTTCCTTCTAAATTTGAAATCTGCTTCACATGACAACAGTATATAGGTGTGTTCGTTTATACAGGCTATTAAAAAGTTATACCCAATATTACATTATTATTGTTCCGCAGCCAAGCTTTTTTAGATATTTTTATATATTAATTAAGTAGGTACTCAAATTTTAAACAAATTTTTACTTGGCCATGATTGACTGATAGGTTTCTATTGTTGTTTATTTATTCAGGATTGTGGATTCAGATACACCCTAAATTAGCAACTATTATTATTTATTAATTCAGTAACAAATTCACGTTAAATTAACAATAATGCATTTTACTACTGATGAAACGGTAGATATGATCTGGATATTAGTGACTTAAGAATGACATGAATGAACAAAAACCAGTCTGACAGAGGAAAACGAAATGAATGTGTTTATGACAGTTACCGAAAACCCACACACAAGTATAAGGAGTATTTTTAAATCCCAAGAATAAAATAATTATGAGTTTCAGAAACAAATAGAATTTAGCGAATAGGCTTTAGAAAAAATTAATCAAGACAGATTTTTTTGATTGTCCTATTTGGAGATAAAGCTACGTTCCATAGAGACGGTTCTATTAATATGCATAACTTTCATTACTATTCAACAAGTAATCCATAGCACATACATAGTAACACATAGTCAAACAAGATGGTCGCTAAATGTATGAGGAGGTATCTGTTGGAACTGATATGCTAATGCCTTGATTTATGATAAATATTGTGGCTATAAACACACAAAACAAAAATCACAAAATGAGACTAATATAGAGAGTAGAGACTTCTATGGGGGAGGATAAGAATGCATAATGAGGAATGAGGACTCAAAATAGTCTAGTCTAGGATGAGTTATTCTCAGTAGATTTTAGGAATAATAAATGCTATGCAAGATATGTTGTATATAGTTTATTCGTCTTCCGGGTTTGGACCGTGTCATTTGTGAGTGACCCAAAAGTGGGTTCATCTCGACGTTTCGCTACAATTGTATGTAGCTTCTTCAGGAGAACAAGGAAAAAGAAATCAAAAGACAGGAAGATGGGTAGTTAGCAACGGTAACTCAGTTACTCAACGCAACCAGAGGCGAATACTAACTACCAAGATGGGCATTTGGTCACAGTAACTCAACTACTTAACGCAGCCAGAGGTGAAAACCAAATGCCAGGACAGGGATTCACGTCCAACAGCTCAGAACACTAACGCGTCGAGAGGCGGGGAGTGAATCCGACGGTTACTCCGCTACCGCTCTATTTATAGTCGCGGTGACCTGTCGTGTCGGGACGTATCGGCACACTCCGTGGCGCGAACGTCAAGAAGCGCGCGCTGGCCGATCATGTGGCTGCATTTTGGTAGCGGGACCGGACGGCGGCTCTAGACTGAGATTCCAGATGGGAGACAAGTAGCATCCTTCCTCTCGATTGATATTATGTGGATTTTTTCGGATCTCTAGAGATTCGCGGATTTTCCTGGAATAAAAGAAGGGGCTCTTAGAAATAATATGGGTTTTTTCGAACAATATGGAATGACCGGTTTCTTGGCAGTGTTCTGCAACTGCAGAATGGGAGAAAAGACCTGATCGAATGCATCTTTGATGCTCTTGAATCCGAGTTTTGACGGAACGACCAGTTTCGCCAATATACACACGTCCACATAAACAATGAATAGAATAAGACACCACAGGAAGATAGGGGCGGTAATGGGTCCTTAGGAGAGGGTAGATATTGTGAGATTTTCTTTGGGTGGTCGAAAAGTAGTCCTGATACCTTCTTTGCGAAGAATTTTGCCAATCCTATCAGTGACACTTCGAATATACGGAAGAAAAGCCACAGGAGTATTACCCGAAGATTCTGAATTTGTCGTCCTAGGGTGTAAAGGGGGATGTAGATGTCGGTGTGTAATATTTTGAATTGTGGACTTGGAGTAACCGTTGGCGACAAGGGTTTTTTGCAGATGGCCAAGTTCTTCTCTAAGGTTGTCAGGTTCAGAAATCGAAATGGCCCGATGGATGAGAGAGTTGATCACAGAATTCTTTTGGGCAGGATGGTGGTGTGATGAAGCATATAGGTAACGACTCGTGTGAGTCTTTTTTCTATAAACAGAGTGACCCAATCGGCCATTGGGCTTGGAGGTGACTAACACATCGAGAAAGGGAAGGGACCGATTATTTTCTACTTCCATTGTGAATTTTATACTCGGATGTTGTGAGTTAAGATGATCTAGGAAGGGGGAAAGGGTATGTTGTCGGTAGGAATTGTTGTAGGTTGTACACTTCGGTAGTTACCGAAGAAATAGTTTCAAATGTGGAAGCGGCACTCCGCACAATTCCCAAAATTCCAGCCGACCGTATCCGCTTTGACGTCGCTAAATGTCTTGATACAGCCAAAATCCCTACTTCCAATATATCTCGTGAGGAATTCATAGCTCTCAAAAATCTCCGTTCTCTTTCTGAGATAATAATCCTTCCTGCAGACAAAGGTAATGCCACAGTCATCCTGGATACTTCTTCCTACATAGAGAAAGTAAACGACTTACCTAGGGATACATCCTGTTATAATACAATTTCTCGAGACCCCACTCCTAGAGTCGAACGCGAAATTTCCCATGCCATCAAACAATCCGATCTTTCCGATGATGTTAAGAAGTCCATAGTTCCGAAAAACTCTATCTGCCCCAGAATTTACGGTCTTCCCAAAATCCATAAAGACAACGTACCTCTTCATCCCATTGTGACTACGATTAACTCTCCTACCTTAAAACTCGCAAAGTACTTGTCGAATCAGTTTAAGACCTATACTGGTCGTACCTCTTCTTATGTCCGAAGTTCCACACATTTCATCACCTTAATCTCCTCCCTCACGGTCGATCCCCAAGACATTCTCGTCAGTTTCGATGTATCATCCCTATTTGCCAATATCCCCATACATGACTCTCTAGTTGTTCTGCGAGATCACTTGACCAATGATAACAAGTCTTTGGTTTTGGCAGATCTTGCGGAAAAATGCCTCCTTTCAACATATTTTTCTTTTAGAGGCAATTTCTACAAACAAATATCTGGAACACCAATGGGTTCTCCCCTTTCCCCTGTCATTGCTGACATTTTCATGGAAGCCTTTGAGTCTTTAGCCCTAGAATCTTACCCCTTAAAACCAAAAGTCTGGTTCCGCTACGTTGATGATACATTTATCATCTGGCCCCATGGTCAACATACCCTTTCTCCCTTCCTAGATCATCTTAACTCACATCCGAGTATAAAATTCACAATGGAAGTAGAAAATAATCGGTCCCTTCCCTTTCTCGATGTGTTAGTCACCTCCAAGCCCAATGGCCGATTGGGTCACTCTGTTTATAGAAAAAAGACTCACACGAATCGTTACCTACATGCTTCATCACACCACCATCCTGCCCAAAAGAATTCTGTGATCAACTCTCTCATCCATCGGGCCATTTCGATTTCTGAACCTGACAACCTTAGAGAAGAACTTGGCCATCTACAAAAAACCCTTGTCGCCAACGGTTACTCCAAGTCCACAATTCAAAATATTACACACCGACATCTACATCCCCCTTTACACCCTAGGACGACAAATTCAGAATCTTCGGGTAATACTCCTGTGGCTTTTCTTCCGTATATTCGAAGTGTCACTGATAGGATTGGCAAAAATCTTCGCAAAGAAGGTATCAGGACTACTTTTCGACCACCCAAGAAAATCTCACAATATCTACCCTCTCCTAAGGACCCATTACCGCCCCTATCTTCCTGTGGTGTCTATTCTATTCCTTGTTCATGTGGACATGTGTATATTGGCGAAACTGGTCGTTCCGTCAAAACTCGGATTCAGATTCCAAGTTCAAAACTTGGAATCTCAGTCTAGAGCCACCGTCCGGTCCCGCTACCACGATGCAGCCACATGATTGGCCAGCGCGCGCTTCTTGACGTTCGCGCCACGGAGTGTGCCGATACGTCCCGACACGACAGGTCACCGCGACTATAAATAGAGCGGTAGCGGAGTAACCGTCGGATTTACTCCCCGCCTCTCGACGCGTTAGTGTTCTGAGCTGTTGGACGTGAATCCCTGTCCTGGCATTTGGTTTTCACCTCTGGCTGCGTTAAGTAGTTGAGTTACTGTGACCAAATGCCCATCTTGGTAGTTAGTATTCGCCTCTGGTTGCGTTGAGTAACTGAGTTACCGTTGCTAACTACCCATCTTCCTGTCTTTTGATTTCTTTTTCCTTGTTCTCCTGAAGAAGCTACATACAATTGTAGCGAAACGTCGAGATGAACCCACTTTTGGGTCACTCACAAATGACACGGTCCAAACCCGGAAGACGAATAAACTATAAAGATATGTTGTGTTATAAATAAATTCATACAATTAAAAACAAAACACATATTGATAAACAAAATTAGCAAAACCAATATTTTACAAAATTAATGCGAATTTTGTTTAATTTTAAATAACAATGTAGTTTTATGCAAGAGAAAAAATATATAAAAAATTAACCTAATATTGAATTAGGATTTTAAGTCCCTAGAGTAAGTACTCTTTACAAAGTTAATTTAACCATTAAACAATTTTATTATACTAGCATGACAAAACAAAATAAATAAAATAAAAAATGTAACTATTTAATATCAAAAGTTTGATGGAAAACGAGGGGAATGCGAGGGGGAGCGAGGGTAGGAAGGAAAGACATATATTAAATGGTCTATCAATAAAAAATTAATTGAAAAGGAAGAAACATATGAGAGTCTATTCCACGTTATTAGTAACGAACTTGAACTAATCTAGAGATTCAAATTCATGGGCTGCAAAAGTTAAAACGTTCGACTACAACAGCTATTCCATATTATAGGATAGGAAACTACACCATCTTATGAAACAACATATGGTCTTATTTTGCTCCATAAAAAAATAACTACTAGAGCAACAAATGGCTCCAACTATTCCCCTACTATATTCCATTATTTAAACAATTTAACAGGAATTTTAAAGTTAAATTTATTATAAATTTTATGTGAAATAAATTGTTTTCTTTTCTGTATAGTCATTTGATTACTAAACTACCATAGGACAATGGTAAACTGCTAACTTTTGACAAATCTTCTTCTTAGGGTGCCTGTCCGTTCCGAACGTTGTTGATCATTCTGGCTATGATGACTTTGTTGGTTGCTATACGCAATAGCCGTGTTGAGGTCTTTCTATACCATGCTCTCAGGTTTGCAAGCCAGGACATTCTTCTTTGTCCTGGGGCCCTTTTCCCTTCAATTTTATCTTGTAAAATGCATTGAAGTAGCTCGTATCTGCCTTGATTTCTCATTATATGGCCCAAGTACTGCAGCTTACGGCTCTTCACGATAATGACCAAATCCGCAGTTGTGTTCATTCTCCACAGTACTTCTCCATTGGTGACTTTGTCTGTCCATGGTATATTCAACATTCTTCTGTATGACCATAGCTCAAAAGCCTGAAGTTTTGATAAAGTTTCCGCCTTTAAGGCTGTTTTATCGGTGCACCAAAACCTAGTGACTGTTATTTACCGACGAAATGTCTCGAAATTTGGACACAATATTCGAAATTATGTTGCTTTTAAAATGATGGTTTTACTTTTTTTTATTTTTTTGAAACTTCTGTTGAAAAATTGGATTATACTGTTTAACGTTCTATTATAACCAAACTTTTTACGCCCATCACTTGAAAGAATTTTTTTTCTGTAATAGTTGATTTTTTTTCACCTTTCTGTGTCCAGTAATAATCGAGAAAAGCGTGTTCCAACTTTGAAGAAAATTGCTAAAAAATACTAAAATCTAATAGTGAAACGTGGTACTCATCATTGTCGCTTAGTTTGACGGTTATCGCGTTCGTTACTGCAAATCTCATGAACGTACGGTCAGTTAGTTCGTGTTAAAACTAATTTGAATGAAGAGTAATGCATTTGTTGTCATTAAACAACCCGTTGGCCGGCGCCAATGAGTAAAGATAGTCTCGCATAAGCAGTTTAGAAATGTAAGTGATACGCCCATTTCAAATCGCAGTGTGCTTGAACTGCTAAAACAGCCTTAATGTCCACGTTTGTACTCCGTACAAAAGCACTGAGTACACAGAACTTATAGTCAAGAATGCACTCTTTGCCTTTCCGATGCGACATTTAATCTTTTGGGTATTGTTGACTCATTGGCTATAGTTCCCAAGTAATTGTATTGTGAGAGTCGTTCAATTCTCATTTGGTTGACATACAGATTTGCTCCAGTTATGTTTTCCTTGATGATGATCATTAGCTTGGTTTTGCTGGTGTTTATATCCAGTTCATATTTTCTACTTGTTTCCGTTATTTTGTTCATTAAGTTTTGCAGCCCCTCTATGGTATCGGGAAACGCTATTGTATCATCTGCATACCGCAGGTTATTGAGCTTGATTCCATTTATTGAGATACCTTCATTGAGATGACAAATCAAACATATTCAACTCACAATAATTATTGGTACTTACCTACCTAATAAATACTATGATATCTGAAAAAACTAAGTAATAGCTTGCTTTATAAAACTTGTAGTAGGATAGTAGTACTTTTCGATAGTAATATAAAATACAGGCGATCGATTTAAAATTACCAAGAAACTAATGTACTTGCATTTTGACTTACATTGTATTCGATTTAATGAATACATTAATTACTATTTATAACTGGGAATAAGCCACAATTAAAGATAAAAATACGTTTATTGACGTTTCTGAATGAACTATCTTATAAGTAAAGTCGTCCCAGGAGCGCAACTCAACAATATTGGCAATATCATTTTAAAGTCGTCTACTTTAAAATGCATAATGTATGTCTGAATTGTCAATATAAATGAGTCAGATAAAATTAAATTATTAGAAGAATTTTTTCACTATGTAACAAAAAACAAAATTTGTTTAATTTACTGTTTGTATTTTGAGAACGATTTCCGAATTGGAAATTGAAACGTCAATAAACGTATTTTTATCTTTAATTGTGGCTTATTCCCAGTTATAAATAGTAATTAATTTACAATGCCACAAGAAAATAGCTTCAGAACAATATAATGAATACATATTATCAAAATTAATTGTATAACTATTTTTGAACATTATCATTATGGTTGTAATGTAGCATTGTTCCTTTACTCCTTTTTAATTATACAGGGAGTTGCAACTTGATAGAGAAAAGATATATAACTCTGATCTAACACTCCGTTATGCAACAGATCCATAAGTTGGTAGAAGGCTCTATCACCGCGTCTTTCTTCACTTCCCGAACAATCCTTTCAGCTTTCTCTCTCTTCGCCTGTGGTAATCGATGAGCTGTTTGACGAATTGGCTTGGCATTACCAGTATCGATTTTATGTTTGACGACGGTAGTTCTTCCTGTGTTTCTTCCTTTCGGTACGAAGATGTCACGATTCCACAAAAGAAATTTCTTTAATTTCCTTTTCTCCGCCTGATTTAGAGACTGGCCAGCAACTGCATCATGTGGTCGAATTTGATGTTGGAATTATCGGATGTTGTCGTCTGACGAATTATGGACGTCACTATTACAGGTTCCTACTTTTGTCTCTTTCTTGATAGTCACTGAGTAATCATTGACATTAATAAGTCTTACAGAGATTTATTTAGCAGAAGTAACCAATTTCTTTCCAATTCTAATTCCTCGGCCAACCTCTTCGTCAGGGTTCTAAGCCTCCATCTTAACAGGTGTTCCTTCTTAAACTGTTCCGTTCAGCCGCGCTACTACCATTGTTTCACTTCTCCTAGGAGCAATCGTATTTTCATTAACGGCGGTTTACATAGTGCTGTCATCATGCGGATTAAAAACTACCTCCTCGTTACCAACTTTGATAACCCTATTCTTAAAATCTAATAAATCCGTTAGGCTTTCACGGCCATCATCTAAGTTGTTAAACTGTTTGTTGGGCTGTTAGGCCGTTGTTTCTGAGATTATTTTTCGACGTTTCGCCAACACTAGGGGCTGGCACCTTCTGGAGATGTTACTGCTTCGCTTGTAAGCTGAAACTGGCGAAAGATGCTAACCAGTAGTGTTGGCGAAACGTCGAGAACTAATCTCAGAAGACAACGGCCTAACAGCCCGAACAAACAGTTTAACTAATTGAAATCCATGCGAATTCAATACGTCCACTCATACTATAACATCCTCTTCGATCTTAGCAACTATGTCAGTATAGAAAAACTTTTCTGTCTCAATTCCTAATTGGATCTGAATGAATTCATGGATGTTGCCATTTACAGTTAAGGATGTTTATAATTGTCGCTCCGGTATCCACCAATAATATATAATTTTTACCGTTTATTTCTCCATTTACTTATACACTATTTTTACGACATTTTAAAGAAGCTATTAGTAATAGATGGTCTTTGCAAACGTTCAGGGTCGAAGCGACCCTCTAAGGCCTACCCGTTCTATTATTTCCTTCTGGCGAGTTTTTTGATTTGTGTTAACTTGAACTTCGTTCCTGTCCCATTTCAGCACAATTACAGAAGCTTATGGTCTTGTGTTTTCTTTTGTATGCAATGCCTTTCGTGGGATTAACAAGCTGGTTAAATTTGTCTTCATCTGCTTCCTATTTTGCAGTCCTAACTTTACCTAACCCACCAGAGGCTTGCGTAGCTGATTCATATTCGAGGGCAGCCGACAAAACATCGACTAGCATGTTATGATGAGCTAATCGCTGTGTTTTCCGCATTTTATAATTACGAAAACCATTAATAAAGGTTTGAACGGCCAACTGTTTCATCATGTCGTTAGAAGCTGCTGGATAAACACTAATCTGGCACTCATCTTTCATATTCTTCAAGAGCCTTATCTAGCTTTTGTCTTCGATTCTTGAATTTTGACTGGTAGACTTGCTCCAAGTGTTCATGACCATATCGCATTTTTAGTCTCTTCTTAAGTTATTCGAAATTATCTGTTTCCTCTACGGCTGTGATCTGAACCACATTCAAGGCGTCTCCTCTAAGAGTAATAGTCAGGTTTACAGCATTTTCTTTTTCGGGCCATCCATTCGCTCTTGCAGCTGATTCGCCTTTATTTTCTAAAGAAATGATGTCCGTAGAAACTTTGTACATATCAAGAATATTTGCTTTCCATAGAAGAAATATCGTTAGAAACTTAATTTTCCCGGGTGAAATATCAAAACGATGTGGTGTCACCAGAAATTTAATTATTTAACCGTACAAAAATGTTATTTTGGACTAACCTATTTAGGTTAGTGGTCGGTCTTAGCTTTTGTGGAGGAGGAGCTTTGAACTGAGTAGAGGCTCTTCTGTACTTCACGGAAGACAGACTGGGCGGGGGATGTCCTCAACCTCGACACGGCGCGTCCCATATGGCTGATAGGGAAAGTTCCTGCAGATATGCAGGACAGGTACGAATAAGGCATTGCCAAATAAGTACCCGCGGATCAACTGAGGATATGACATTAGGCAGCAGTAATGTCATTACTGGATTAAGGCTATAGGAAGTAAAGATCCTGTAGGCTTAATTTCAGATACTCACAGGCGTCACTCACATTATGAGTTAAGCGACTGTGATACTGCGACATGGCATAGGGCAGCAGCTATGTCATTACTGAATCAAGGCCGCAGTGGAATGATTTCTGCTGTTGGCTTGATAACAGACACTCACGGGCGGACATCACATATTGATTCAACCGGCCGTAACACTGCGATCAGGCAGGCAAGGGGAAACCACCTGATTATTCTCCCGAGAGTACACTCTAAATAAATCAATGAGTAGCGCAACACAAAAAGTAGAGATGCCATGCGATCCGGTTAGCGACCGGCGCTGTCCTGATTCCGGGTCAGACAGTGTGAAATGGGCTACCGGGCACGAGTGTGCGAGCAACCAGGCCACTCGTGGTAAATGGGCGACTGGAAGAAATAACCAAACACAGAAGTTTCAAGGCAGAAAATCGATGAATATAGGGACATGGAACGTCAGAGGTCTTCTCCAAACTGGAAAACTTTACCTAGTAGAGAAAGAGATAATAAGACAAAATATAGACATATGTGGTCTAGCAGAGACACACTGGAAAGATCAAGGACATTTTAAAACACAAAACCACACTATCTACATATCAGGATCTCAAAATACAGGGCATAATGGAGTAGCCATACTTATAAACAATAGAATATCTAAATATGTCAGACAATATGAAACAATAAACGACAGACTCATAAAAATTACAATAGAAGCAAAACCAGAAAATTTCCATGTCATTCAAATATATATGCCCACAACAGATGCCCCAGATGAAGACATTAATGAAATATACAACAACATAGAAAACTTACTGAAGAAGATACCACAAAAAGAGCCAGTATATATTATTGGAGACTTTAACGCCAAAGTGGGAAAAACGGATAATGAACCACATTTAAGAGGTATTGTTGGGTCATTTGGCTTGGGCATTAGAAACAACAGAGGAGAACGTCTTCTACAGTTTGTCAGTGAAAATAATTTAGTGATAACAAATACCCTTTATAAACACCACCCAAGAAGGCTCTCAACATGGACTAGTCCAAATAAAGAACACAAAAATCAAATCGATTACATACTCGTGCGGAAAAGATGGAAAACCTCAATAACAAATGTAAAAGCTATGCCTGGAGCATATTGTGGATCAGATCATAAACTACTAAAAATGAACTGCAGGCTCAGACTACACACAATTAGAAAAATACATCAGACAAAACAGATAAGGGTAAGTAATGCAGAAGAATTCCAGATGAAACTGATAAGCAAAGAAAAACCACAAGTATTAGAAGACACAAATAAAACGTGGAATGGAATAAAAAGCTGGATATATTCAGTGGAAAAAGAGTGCACATCGCGTAAAACCCAAAAGAACAAACATTGGATGTCAGGGGAAGCACTAGAGTTAGTGGAAAAAAGAAGAGCTATGCTACAACATATCTCAAAAACAGGAAGCAACACTCAAGAAATAGCGGAGATAAACAGGAAAATAAAACGTATGTGCATCAGAGATAAAAACAACCATATAAATAACGTGTGTCAAGAACTGGAGCAACATGCAAACCGCCATGAAAGTCATGAACTATTTAAAAAAGTTAAATATTTAGCCCGAGAGTTCAAGCCACAACTTCAAGCCATTCAAGACTCTAATGGAGAAGTAAAAACCGACATAGAGAGCATCGCAGAGACCTGGAAAAATTACTGCTCAGAATTATACAAAGACACTTCAAAAGATGACGCATCAGTCTCAGAACACAAAAAACATGCAATCAGAGAGGCTGAACCAATCATTTTACGAGCAGAAGTAGAGAAGGCTCTTAACCAACTAAGAAACAAAAAAGCTCCAGGAATCGATGGCATAACAGCGGAGACTCTAAAAGCAATAGGCGAAATTGGCGTAGATGTAATGCTGGATATGTGCAACATGATATGGATCACAGGTGAATGGCCTGATGAGTGGTGTGAATCAACCTTGATCCCTATCCATAAAAAAGGATCACTAACCATATGCAGCAATTACAGAACTGTTGCCCTTATCCCTCATGCAAGCAAAATCCTGCTACATATAATCAATGAACGGCTAAAGAACTTTCTACTTCCAGAGATAGCCGAAGAACAATGTGGATTTGTACCAGGAAAGGGAACGCGTGAGCAAATACTCAACACCAGACAGATAGTAGAAAAAGCGAGAGAACATAACATACCAATGTTGCTCTGTTTTGTAGATTACACGAAGGCTTTTGATTCAGTAAAATGGGATCCTCTCTGGAGCATAATGGAAAATATGGGAGTACCTAACCACCTAGTTAACCTAATAAGAAATCTGTATAATAAAAACTCAGCCAAAGTTAAAGTACATGGAATATATTCAAATACATTCAAAACAGAGAAGGGAACTAGACAAGGTTGCATACTATCACCATTACTGTACAACATATATTCTGAATATATAATGAGAAAAGTACTAGATGAATGGGATGGAGGAATCACTATAGGAGGCAGAAAAATCAGTAACCTGCGATACGCAGATGACACACTTATACTAGCAGCGAATGAAGTCGAAATGATTACCATCATCGAACGGCTAAGTCGAATAAGTGAAGAATTCGGACTTCAAATCAACACCAGAAAAACAAAAATAATGATTGTAGACAGAGCAAATAATAATCTACCGCATATACGTCAAATAGGGATTTTCGAAGTAGTCGACAGATTTGTATACTTGGGCTCTCTGATAACCAACAATGGTGATTGTTCCTCAGAAATCAAACGTAGACTAGGAATGGCCCGAACCGCAACTGCTAAATTAATTAAAATATGGAAAGACCGAACAATAACAAGGAATACTAAGCTTAGGTTGGTCAATGCCCTTATTTTTCCCATTGCTACATATGCAGCTGAAACATGGACTCTCAAAAAAATCGATAGGAGTAAGATCGAAGCCTTCGAAATGTGGGTATATAGAAGAATTCTACGCGTGTCCTGGACAGAACATAGAACCAACCTGTCAATTCTGGAAGAGCTTCATATAAAAGACAGGCTACTAAAAAAAGTAAACCAAGCCTACCTAACTTACTTCGGCCACATAGCTAGAAGAACGGGCACCATGGAACTATTGGTAGTAGAAGGTAAGGTAGAAGGCCGAAGACCAAGAGGAAGATCTCCAATACGATGGGTGGACCAAATGAAGAGTTTGGTGGGAAAATCACTACATGAAGCCGTCCATATGGCACAAGATCGCAGTCAATGGAGACAGCAGACCAATAATATTTAGGGTGTCACTACGCCCTGACAAGGGCTAAAGGATTGAGGAGGAGGATTTAGGTTATAATTTCTCTTATATATACTTGTCCCATCTTTGACCAATGTGTGTTACCTGTGCTCACTTATGGAGCGGAAACATTAACACGCACAGTCTCTCTGAGAGACCGAATCCCAAACGAAGAAATATGTTGTAGAACAAAACAACAGACGTTATCGAAAAAATCGCGTCGTTAAAACGAATTGGGCAGGACACGTCGCCAGATTATCAGACAACCGATAGACAAAACGTATTTTAGAGTAGAGGCCAAGGCAAGAAGTAAAACGGAGCAGAGGACGCCCACCAACTAGATGGACTGACGACCTGAAGTGTGTTAGCAATAACTGGATGCAAGTCGCAGAAGACAGAGACAGATGGAAAGAGCTGAGGGAGACCTATGTTCAGCACTGGACGCATACAGGTTGATGATGATACTTGTCTCGATGTTGGGAACGGTCCTAAAATTTTCTCGGTGACCTTAGAACAGCTGTATACAGAATCACGTAGTATATTCGATCAGGGGCGTAGCAAGGACTTAGCGTATAAGTACTATTATATTATGATTCCAATAGTTATATTCTTATGCCACATTATCGAGTTAAGAGTGCCTATTACTTTTTTCCTTTTAGTTATTCTCTACGTAATACTTTCCTCGCCTCGCCTGCTTTCTCTATTTGACTAAGTTATACATTACTATCACGCCTATTTGAAAAGTATTCTCCAATTTTAAAATCTTTTAGTTGTTCTTTGTTTCCGATGCAAAGGTGTTTCAGTCATGTTAAATGTATTTATTTATTATACGTCGAGTCGTCTTTCTATTGGTTGATGTTTGATGTAGCACAACTACATGAGTTATAGTCGTTGACCCCATAAGTCAATACCCTAAATACGATGCGTCAGCACCTGAACTATGATCGACCTGAATATAAAAGTGCAACTATTGAATATATATTATTGTTTTATTTTCCAACGTGTAATGTATTTCATTTTTATTAATTATGACTCAGTCAGATTTAAACCATTGTACAGTGAAGTCTGATTTAAACCTTTGTACAGTAAAGTCTGATTTGAACCTTTGTACAGTGAAGTCTTATTTTAATATTGTAACTGTTAAGAACGTAATAAAGTTCATTTTGTTCCATTTGTTGTTCCATTTGTAAATTAAATAATTATTTTTTAAAAATCGTCCCTGAAGGGCAGAGACTATTACTAATACTCGTATCTAGCCAGTTCAGTACATAAACATTTATAAACAGATAGTAGCGTACTCACCAGTATTTGAAGAGGTCATCAGAATGTTCAGCGGACATTCGTCGTCGTCTAAAATATATTCGCTATCCGGACATCCGGGCTGTTGGGTCACTTGGACAAGGCACCATTGGGACGGATCAGTTTTAATAAGACCGTATTTATCCAGCATTTCGCGCACTACAGTCCCTGCACAATCGCGAACCGATAACAAAAGAGTCTTATATGGTACATCCTTGCACAACGCCTCGCCGTAAATTTTAAGTGTGCCACCTGTAACAAAGAGAAGGTTTTACTTTAGAAATGAAGGGTTTTTAATGTCGGCAATGGGAATATTGGGTTTTACAAAAATAAAAACATCGAAGATACTAAGGTAGTTCAGAATAAAAATATAAAAGTTGATAAAATCAAAATATTCCTTGTATATCACATAATTTAAAAGAAAAATGGTGGGATAAAAATCAGAACATAAGGTGATAAGTTTTACTTTTTAGCAGCCATCTGTTATAAACCCGTTCTACTATAGCAAATTGCTTATCATACATCTTCCCTTCCTTCATTCTTATGCAGAATAACCAAGTGCCCTTACTCACTGCAGAATTCTGTAACCCAATACCAGCTTGTACAGACCTAGTGGACGATTAACATATATTTTTGGAGTGACTTGGTAGTCTTGCTAGTCAGTTGCTACACGTTCTGACTTTAAGTCCGTTCTGATTCCTGCTTTTTTTCTGCAGTAGTACTTTCCTGTAGCCCTATCTACGTATTTACATTAAATACAAATTTTACCATGCGGTTGACCATATCAGCAATTTTACCATATGTTCCCAGTGACAGTTGTGTTCGGATCCAGACTTTTTTCCGGTCGCGAATGTGTTTTTTATCACACCTACGGTAGGCTATGAGCCGAAATATTTTTTAGTTGATCTTCTCCTAGCAAGTTCATCAGATCGTTCATTGTCGGGTATTTATTCATAACTCAAGACCCATACCAGCGTGAGACTGTTGTGTTCCGCCACTCTGTCAAATTCTTGGCATTTCTAAACTAGCCTAGCCATCTTCGGGCTTCTATAAGCTCCCGAAACGGTACATATATTGATTGGCTTCAGTTTGAAAGCCATCATGTTAATTCTTTGTTGCACACTGCAAGATTATATAAATCCAGGACTGAAATGCAGAGTTATATTCTCCTAGTGACGTAATTATTGTTTACATTTCCACCACTATTGAATATTCCTAGACCCGTTCTGCAGTTTTAGACCGGTATGTGTACTAAGTGGAACTCTGTAGTGTTAGGTCCTTGGAACCGTAGTCTTAGGTATCATAGGGTCAGAAGTTGCAATCCATTCGGTAGTCTTAATTTCATTTATGTTATTATGTCCTGATCTAATTGTTACACTCCCTAGGTTTTCCCGCAGTCTATAATATTCTATTCTAGCCTCCCCCTTCTAACCGACAGATAAGGGAGATCCAATAGAGCCTTCAAACTTTTGGTGTGCCCCTTAGAGCCCCTGTAATTCCACGTCCTTGAAACTTGCTTAGATTGTAAATGACTTTTTTACTACACTTTTGTGTAGTAGATTTGTACCATTCAGGCTTAGAAGAGTTTATCCATTTAAATTCCTCCAGATAAATTTTATGATTTTCGATTGCTGGTGGCTTATATTAAACTTTATGTTTGAAGTTCATTCTGTAAATATAGTCAAAGCCTGTTAAATTCTAACTCTGACTGTGCCCTTAAATTTGCCGTGGGTTAAAATGACCCAGATAGGATCGTTGCTGAGTCTAGCTATCAGACCATCCATAACCAGCTTCTATAAGAGAGGAGATAAGTTCTGACAGTGTATTTACCTCTACGATTGCCTATATCACACGGCTCCATATCATGCAGTCTATCAGGTATTACAGCAGAAATATTCAAGGAAGGTGAAGGATAGCTTATGCTCAAACTCATAACTAACTTAATAAAACGAATTTGGAAAAATAAGAAATTAACAACAAGGCTGGAAAAATGCAGTCTACCACAAACAGGTAGATAAGAGCCTATGCCAAAATTTAGACGAATTGCTTTATTGGATGTAACATATAAGATATTGGCTTTATTGATACGAAACCGACTAACAAAATATGAATCTGAAACAATACGAGAATATTAGGGAGGGTTTAGAAGAGGAAAGTTTACAATTAATCAAAACAAATATTGTACAACAGCTACGAACAAAATCTAGGTTTGCACGTTATGTTTATAGATTTTAAGCAGGCATTCGATAGAGAAAAACTATACAAAGCGATGGATCTATTTCTGAAAAGAAACATGTTCGATCCTGATGAGAAAGTGATCCTGGAAGGAAGGTTATCAGAGACTTTCACGTAAAGGAAAGGATTAACACAAGAAGAAGATTTACAATTAATCAGATTATTACGATAAAAGAAATATTGCACAACAGCTACGAACAAAATCTACGATCCTGGTGAGAAAGTGATCCTGGAAGGAAGGTTATCAGAGACTTTCACAGTAAGGAAGATATTAAGAAAAGGAGATCCACCGCCCACAACTTTATTTAAACTTATGCTAGAAGCTATCCTAAGACAAAGTGGCATGGAGACAGATGGTATAATATACTACAAGAGACAACAAGTTATCGTTTTTGCAGACGATATTGCATTGATTACCAGATCAATTAGATTATGTATAAACAATAATAAAGGACAATTGGACAATTGTTTTAATATCCCAATAATCCCAAATAAAGGACAATTGTTTTAATATCAGAATTGATTGTCTATTATTTCTTTTTCCTTTTGTTGATCTTTCTTAAATGGAACTAGCAAAAGATAAATTTATTACATTTCAACTATATAAGTAGATTCACAATTATAAGCAAATCACAACAATATATATATATATATATATATATATATATATATATATATATATATATATATATATATATATATAAAATAAAGTTTTATTTTGAGGATGCAGTCATTTAAGTAGGGCAGGATAAGTTAAACTCTTTGTTCTTAAATCAAGCTTTCGCAAAATTTATTTGTTTTATTTATTTATTTGCAAAATTTATTTTCTAATTCTATCCTGGTGAAGCAAATAAATTTTGCGAAAGCTTGATTTAAGAACAAAGAGTTTAACTTATCCTGCCCTACTTAAATGACTGAATCCTCAAAATAAAACTTTATTTTACATAACGTGTCAGTCAATAATACCTAACTACTTTATTATATATATATATATATATATATATATATATATATATATATATATATATATATATATATATATATATATCAAAATTATTCAACGCGGAGTCAAATCCGGAAAACTACAGAAAGCAAATATAACTCCCGCGGAAATTCCAATAAATATTCTAAATATTCAGGCAAAAATAATGAAAAACAGGAGTGAATTTGTACACAAAATGAAACGATAAAAAAAATGTGGTGTCATTTACGAATTAAATTGTAGATAGGTACTTACCGGTATCAGGACCACCATCTTTCGATCTAAACTGTTGTAATTTTTTTTCTAATTGTAGCTGCCTTCGTCTTCTCATAACTGCCTCGGGATTCGATATTGATCTAGTAAATGAAGTTTCAGGTAACTCTGTAAAGAAAATAAATACATAACACCACAGTGAAAAAGAATTATGAAACTATTGTACTACTGTTCAAAGTATGTTGAAGCAAGTTTGTAATATTCTTACCAGTATAAAGTTTTTCGGCAACTCCATCTTGATCATGTGAGTCGCCATTCTCGAGTTTCATCTTCGTTAGTTTTTCTTGTTTCTTTAGTTGCTTTTTTTCTCGTTTCGATAACTTTCGTCGGAAACTTGCGTTCGCGTCGAGTGATCCCATCGTACCGGTCTGAAATTCAAATAAAAAAGTTTATTAAAATCGGTAAACTAATTTTCGAAACCAAATTATTACCAAAAAAAAGTTTATATTATTATTATAATTATAAAATAATTTATATAAGCATAAAACACTTAGATGGAGAAAAAAAGCACAAAATAAATCAGAATGGAGAAGAATCCTCGAACAGGCCTAGACCCAAAAAGGGTTGTCGAGCCAGTGATGATGATGATAAAACACTTAGACTGATTTAGAAATACTTCAGGTAGTTTTTATGATTAAATTTACAATTTCTTTTCTGTCCATCTAAAGTATCAACTGGATTCGGCATATTTTGCATCCAGATAATCAGGCACGTATTGGTTTTATATTTTAAATTGTGTCTCCACTAGACTAAGTGGTACTTTCCAGACTTCTTTTATTTTTTATTATGTTCATCTTGAAATTAAACAACGACTCAATCACCAAGTTAATAGCAGAAGCATACACCAACTCAGCGATATATTCGTCATATTGTTACGATAAATATGACTCATAACTTTAAACATATTATTTCTAATTCTATTCCATTCAAGTTTTTTCTAGATCATACACCAGCCGGCAGAAACTTCAGGTAATACCCCCGGGTCTCCAATTATACCTGCGATTCGAAATTTCCAGAAGAAGGTCGAATGAGAACCTGTCTGCATTCAATGGGCTTCCGGAGAGTTTAGCAAAGGTCACCATCCTTCGAGGGAACTCTGGGCTAACGGTTGATTGATATACATAGGATTTTATTTGAAAAGAAGTCAGTCCGAAAAATATAATGGTATCGAATTATTGTAACTCGGAAATGTAGTGGAATCGATAAATAATGTAAAATAAATTAGTGTTAAACTGTATATAATAGTGGAAATAAATCATTGTAAGACTATAATAAATTAATAAAGACTTTAATAAACCTGTAATTGTTGTAAAAGTGTAGAACCTTTTATAATAAACAAAGACAATAAATTAGATTTATAATAATAGTATAATATTCTAGTGCTACAGTATCGATAAAGACAAGTTCCAGTAAAAGCCTAGTTAAGAATTGGCCAAGATATCAAATGAAGAATAAGAGATAATTCCTAATTCCTAATTTTCAAACATCTATTGGTTCATTTGTCCAACACTTTTAATCGGTAAAGAGCACAACCAGTAGATCAAAACAACAATATCTAGCAACTATCCATCAACTAATTATCATTATACCGTCCCAATACCTGTTCAAATCTCATTTATTTTTAATATTATAATGTAAAATTACTCCCGCATTTTTCGTCACAAACTCTGTTCTGTGTTGCCAAGGGCAATTGTAATTTAGCAACAGATTTTCACTTCACATAGTCTGTTTGAATCTTGTGAAGCAGAGGTTTAAAATAAATATTTGACAATCAGTCTAAATATTTTACCTAAGATAATATTTTAAGATAGTCTGCCTGAATCTGTCAGAATTTTGGCAGATTTGATTTGGCGCTGTACAGAGATTCAAAGGGCACTCGTTTCATGTGATATTTGACAATGCACCTAAAGCGGTCAGTTCGTTGCATGTAGCACTCACATTATACCCTTTTTCCGAATGAATTTGAGTAGGCATACCCCGATGTGAAACAAAGCGCCTTAGGACAGCATTGAAAGTAGAAGTAGATAAATCTTATCCTATCCAGCCTATCTTCTGGATAGAAGAAAGAAAAGTCTGGCATAATCAACGACAGTGAACCAGAAGGGAAATGAAGGGTGAAACCTATATGCTGGAAGATTAGTCATCAAAGGCTTATGGGATGAAGGATTTACTATGCGAAGTATTAAAATATTTAATACGATATTTAAGAACATCTGTATCAAAGCACCATAAAATACCTAAAGCTTTAGTGTGTGATCACCTATACGCAAAAAAATAGAATCTCAAGAAGCAGAACTAAGATTTTGAATATTGTTAGGACAATTTGAGACCTACTTCCCCAAAGGAAAGCAACCAATTTCAATAATTAAACAAGACAGTTCCAAAGCTGAATTAGAATCAGTCAGTAGATCATCAACATAGAAATCAGATGAGATTATGTTGGAAGCTTCAGGATATTTTTCCGAATATTTTGTAGAAAGTTTAAGCAAACATCTTGTAACGAGGAAGGATGCAGATGCAGTAGCACAGGTTATAGTGTTCAGTTGATATGAGTTTAGTAGCTCTTCTGGATCAAATCGCCAAACAATTTGCTGAAGGCTTCTCTGGTTGGGATCTATTAAAACCTGTCGATACATCTTGGCTATGCCAGCAGAAATGTATGCTGACGAAAGCGTAAAAAAATAGAAAAGAGATCACTCTGAACAACAGGACCCACTGATTTATCTGACGTAGAAGAAGAACCATTGAATACTACTCGAGGGTTGGTAGTAGAACTTTCTTCCTTCAAAACTAGGTGATAAGATAAAAAAATAAATGACTTCTTCAATTATATTAGAAGGTGACTTTGACATATATGACCCATATCGATGTACTCTTGCATAAGTTGAAAATATCTTTCTTAAACAAGAGGGTTTGATGAAAGTCTTTCTTCAAGCTTATAGAATTGCTTTGCAGCAGTATGTCTCGATTCCCCCAGCCCCGTAGGTGACTCCTTAAAGAGAGTAGAAATAATAAATCTACCTTCATTATTTCGCTTGAAAGTTAAGATAAAATGCTCCTCACATTTTTGATCTTCCGCAGAAAGAAAATTCTTAGAATTGGAACACTCTTCAATTTTCCAGAATTTAGAAAGGGCCTGACATTCGGAATTGCAAGAAAAATTGTACGAAACTGCATTGTCAGAATGTGCAGGAAGTGGACCAGAAATAATCCTACAAAATCTGGTCTTTTGAAGAATTGGCATTCCTTTACTCAATCGTATTTGCCCTACTAGTAGAAGTAGAAGATCCCAAAATGCACCTGATCCAATAAGAATATCAATCTTTGATAGTTTGCAAAATGATGGATCAGCTAAACGTATATTTTGAGGAATATAAAGACTGTTACTATCAATGTAAAAAGTAGGAAGCAAGTTGCATATTTTGCAGTTGAACATAGCACTTTTCCACCTGATGCTTTTCTTATCTCTAAAAGAAGTCAAATAGATCGTTGGAGAACTTCTTGGCAAACTTTTGTCGAACAGTCAACAACACAATACGTTTCTATACAACGACATATTCCAAATTCCAGATGGTTAAAGAGATTTAATACTGCCCGTGAATATATAGCAACCTTAATAATATTGCAAAAATCAAAATCTACAATTCAGATTTATGTGAAAGATTTAAGAACACCATCTTAACCATATTTATTAAGTGTTCCAAATATTTTCAGAATACAGGATCTCTTTTAAACAACTTGTGAACTCGTAAATATTTCGTCCGTGCCAAATAAATAAACTATTGGCTACTACCAAAACATTGGATGTTCAGAGCGCATCTCCGAAACTGTAACTAAACACATTGATTCTACTAAATGATAAGAATAATCCTTTCAGAATATGGTGTCTTGGCTGCGTTCATCAGCTTTATCCTGACAACAATGGTTTGGTACGAGTAGTTTCTATAAGAACTAGCATGGTGTGACTCGTAGAGCAGTTGATAATATCTGTCCTCTTCTTATAGACAATGAAAGTGCTAATGCTATACTCTAGTTTATATATTTATTTATTGAATGAGTTTATTTTTGTTTGTTGAAAGTTAGCCCTGTCCTAATAACGTCAGCATCAGCATTTTCCGTCACAAACCCTGTTCTGTGTTGTCAACGGCAATTATAATTATTAACTGATTTTCACTTCATATAGTCTGTTTGAATCTTTTCGAGCAGAGTTGTAAAATAAATGTTCGACTTCAGATTGTGGCCAAACACAACTCTGTTGCAAAGTTTAATGATTCATAAAGTCTGTCTTCTGTTTTTATTTTTAAAATCTCGTTTTTTGACAAAACTCTATATTTCAAAATTAGTAATCTAAGAAGAATTATTAAACTTAGTGCCAAACTTCAAAAAAATTTCAGGTTTTTACTGTTCTCTATATATCCATCGTCTATTAGATTTAACAAACACAGCTACTTACCGTCTTATCGTCAACATTCTTTAACAAAAACCTTCCTTCTCTATCATCTACGTGCCATTTGAGTTGTACCAAGAGGGGCTTCTCATCGGGAGCCATTTTCCTTTCCTGGCAACCCTCATGTAATTCGTAGAGCGCATAGGAAGGTATTGACAGCATCCGCATATCCGGTCGGAATTTTTCAACCAGAGTACCGATGACGTCTTCTACGGTAGCATCTGATGCTACCCTTATGCATTTTGTGGCGACTTTCTGACCGGAATCTTGGAAATAGAATCGCATCACCCCGTGGAATTCCAGGTCCTACAATAAAAAAACAAAATATAGTGGTTATTGATGTTATATGTTTAGAAAAAATATAGAGCTATAATCATAATCTCTAAGTAATGTAAAATAATTGACTCAGAAATTTCAAGAAATTTCTAAATTTGAATTACAGAATAAGTCCCGAAATATTGAGCATCCATATACTCGTATTGTTTAATAATGACTTAATTCGGTTGCTTCAGTTTAAACCAAGTTTAACTATCGCTAGGTACAAAAACAAGTGGATAAGCGAATATGCGATAGAGGAAACACGTAAAGGAAGACATATAAAAAACGAAAAGGAAAGAAATGATTAATATAAAAAAAAATGTTCTGAAGTTAAAACTTTGTGGCAGCTTAATGCAATTTATTATTTTTATTCTTGTAAAGTTGCCAGATTTTGAAGAATATTCCCCAGATTTATATATTTCACTTCCCATTTCACTTACCTCACACCTTAGGGTAGAGAGATTTTCGATTATATATATATATATATATATATATATATATATATATATATATATATATATATATATGTATATATATATATATATATATATATATATATATATATAAATATATAAATATATATATATATATATACTTCCTATTTAAAAATTAACAGTTACAGCTAGCGGAAGTAAAACACAAATTAATAATGACGGTGTAAACAATCTCTCAGAAGATCTAGTTTTGACCGTCTGTCGATGCTTGCAGTGACTGATCATGCGACCTTGGATTCCAGGGTATAGTAATCTTTTGTTATTCTTTTGAATTTAAACTTAATTAATTTTGTTATTTGCTATAATTGTTATACATTTTTAAACTTACATAACCTGTTATCTCGAGATAAGCCCATAAACAGCAAAGAGAGCCTTTTTGGAATCACTTTTAGTTGAATATTTTTAAATAGTATCAGGCTCTCTTCGCTGATAATTTAATATGTGCATGATTTTATCATATTGTATTTGTAAAGGTATTTATTAATCATAAACTAGTAATAACTAGAAAATTAATCGGCCCCAAAAGAAGAGGTAGACCCAGAACGAGGTGGATTAGTAAAGCGGAGGAAGACCTTGAACACATGAAGGTGAGGGACTGGAAAATAAAAGCACAAAATAGAAGCGAATGGCGAAATATTGTATACCAGGTCCTTCAGAGTAGTTAAGAATGTTATATATACATATTTAAGTTAAAGTTTTGTTTAAAATAATTGTAATTAGTTAATATTAGGATTGTTATAAAAAATGCCCTAGGCCTTAACGGCCTGTTGTGCGTAAAAATAAATAAAATAAATAAATTTATTAGTCATAATACTGTTTATTTCTATATGTATACCAGCATTTAATAATTGATAATACATATTGTTTACTTGTGTTTACATTTAGATTTAAAATCATCAGATTGATCCAAATTTAATCGTGTTGTTGAATATATTGTTTTGTTTTATCAATGAATTTTATTTCTCGACTCCTAATAAGTTTCCTTATAAAATAGTACCTTTGAACATTTGGTTATTATATTAAATTATTATTATATCTTCGACCAGGAGAAGGATCAGGCTAATTAAGTTTCGTAGGTAAGTATATATTTATTATTTGTGTAGGTAGTGTGTTGACCAAATTTATTTAATAACTGTTAATATCTTTCCTTATCTCTTTTCGTTTCTAACGTTTTTAAATTTTTTCCTTAAACTTCAACAAGTTAAGTGACGCCCTTTTCTATCTTATCTTATCTTTGGTAATTTTACCCATCTATCTTTTTGTTTATTTCGGTATCTTTTCTAATATATCTTATCCTGTCCTATCCTTACTTATTTCGTCCGTTGGACCCATTCCCGGTTCCAAAAGCTAGTTTCGAACCCACGACTCGCTCTCCTCCAACCATCTGGCTGCCGTCCGCAGTGTCTCCATTGGTGACCTTTCTAGCACCATCCAAAAAATATTTCCGAGGTTACACAATAAAGAAATTGTTCCTCTTGTTTTTTTCTTTATTAGAACTCTTTGAACGGCCTTAGCAACTACACGAAAATTATTGTTCATTGTAATCTTCTACGACTATCAAGAGACTATCAAGACTATAACGTATATTGATTTTTCTTTTCTCCCTTTCAAACCTATGACAAGTTCTTAAATTAGTAGAAGAAAGTAGAGTACCAACACAAACCATGAAGAAACGCTAGATTTGCATTTAATTAATACCAGACCAAACAAAGGGAGCATTTCACGCTTGGTCGTTTTAAATACGTAACGAGAAAAACACGGCGGAGTCCTCGATAAATGACTAATGCTTGATTTGCTCGGTTCACGTATCTGCAGAAAAATGTATGTTATGATTTTTAAATGTTCATAAAATATTGTAATCTACTTTAATATATTTTTATAATGTGTATCTAAGTCATCATATGTAGGCATATGATACGTCCAATAGTTGCTGCTATTTGCAACAGACAACCGAAAAATCCGAAAAATAGTAAATGAAAAATTATTTGCAAAGCTCCACAAGGAATGTTAGTTCCTGTAGTTGGATGTATACCATGTACCACAAAAAATTTATTAAAAATCCTTTATAAAAGGTATATAATTTAAAAACCCAATCGGGCTATATCACAAAACGTTTTCGGAATCCATGTTCCACCATCAGTGTCCTAAAAAGTATATAATCCCTTAATTAAAAAGAACGTGAAATTTAAATTTTGACCAAGGTTAATACAAAATGTGGTTAATACTTACTAGGTGTACATGTATTGAGCCACTAAATATCTGGGTAAAAACCCGTTAAAAGTTATCTGTTTAAATTTAGTTTACATTATATGACATAAGATGTTCAAGTCAAATTTAACACCTTATATAACATACGGTGATTTGGACCTCGCCTGATGGATTAACGAACAACGAAATTGATCATGTGACCATAGATGCTAGACACTTCTCCAACCTTATGGATGTCCGCATCTATCGAGGTGCCAATATTGATTCAGATCATTTTCTAGTTGGCACAAGAATTCGGGCTAGAATCTCAAATGCGAAGAAGGAGAGGAGTACCAAAATACGGCGCCTTAATATTGAACTCCTCAAAAATCCGCAAACGGTAGAAACTATATCGAAACTAAATACATAACTAAAGAGAATCTAACAATTAGTGAACAATGGGAAATGTGTAAAAATTATATTAAAGACGCAGCAAATAACATTCTAGGGCCGCAAAGACCACCACCTCGGAATGAGTGGTTAGATGATGAGTGCTAGAACATTACAAGAAGAAAGGACAATGCATATAAACTGATGCAGCAAAGAAGAACCCGAGAAAAAGAACAAAAATATAAAGAACTCAAAAGAGAAGAGAAGTATATCCATCGGAGAAAAAAGCGAATTTATGAAAATAGAATATTTTTTTTATTGAGTTTAATGCGTCGACAACTAATGGTCATTGGTATGGTACAGAGAATCATGCGTGAATCATCAGTGAAAATCATGCGTGGAGGTAGGCAAGGCTGTATTTTGTCTCCTCTAATCTTCAATCTGTATTCTGAAAGAATATTTATCGAAGCTTTGCACGAAACTGAAAAAGGTATTCTATTAAATGGTTACCGGCTTAACAACATCAGATATGCAAACGACACCATAGTATTTGCGGACAACTTAGAAGACCTACACGTTCTTATGAACAAAATCACGTATTACAGTCAACAATATGGACTCAATATAAACGTTAAGAAGACAAAGCTTATGATAATTAGCAAGAAAAGGATAACAGAAGGTCAACTCTACGTTACAATGCTTGTTTTACCCTTATCCTTATTATAATGGCAAAAACGTCTTGAAATATTCTATCAGCATAGTACTCACTTTTTCGTTAGTTCATCATCAAAATCTTGTCACGTTTTAATCGCCATCTCAACAAGCTCCTTTGGATACTTAGATTTCAGGGATTTCTCATCGGTATGCACAGAACAAAGCGAAGCCACGGGAACACACTGCCCGATCAAAGTTCTTCTACTCAACTTACTAGCAGTTTCCTTTATAGCTCTTACAGGAACAACATCTTGAACTCTCACAAAAGTTTTTACCGTTAGGAATTCGGCATTGTTCATGTATTCGACCATCCTTAAACTTCCCTCTCGGCAATGACCAGCAAAGCTGCTATCATTAGATTATACTTGAAAAAGCCCCATCGAATGCCTATTTTGCACTTGTTTTTCACGAAATTTGTTATAACTCAGGTTCTAACAATCGGATTATAGTTAACCAAACGCTATTTTTTTTTTAATTTTTTCAAAAGGGACGATTTTCATTTTGGCAAAATTAAATATCTCACATTGTTTACGATATACGTACAATCATTTAAATAATTAAATTGCTATAATACCAAATTTTATTCAGCCTGGTATTCATGGAGTGAAATTTACATGTTTAGACTGTGTGATTTGTCATATGGTTTTGTCATAATCGTTGTCATACGGCTCGTCATAGCTCGTCACAGGAGAATAGGACGGTACCTATTCCACATGATAAAATCATATCGGTAATAATACCGGTAATACCAACATATTTAAGTATCACGCCTTATTATTATGTCAATTAAGTGAAATTCCCTTCTCCAGAGACAACATTCTGTATTTATTTTTTGTATGTTGCTTTGATATTGAGCCTGTTGCAGTTTCGCAACTGTATATAAACATTTGTAAATATATTAACAGACTTTTTAATAGTTTCGATTCTCCCCGTATATTTACACTGAGATTTGCATATACAATTGCACAGCGGTGTTTAAGAGCCAAACAGAGATAAGGGCTAAACATTCCTGGACGGCCATCTGCGAGATAACAAAGGACGATTTCCATATGCCACATGTGTTTTTAAAGTCAAAACAGGAAGTTGAGTTGTATCTCTCAAACGATGCACATGTGTATGTGAAGAGTACCTGAGACTCAGCATCGGTCTGTCGACCGAGAGAGACGTCAAAGAATGTGCATTATGAACTTTGTGGTTCCAGTGTCGCTGAAGACATAATTTACGATAGCGTTGGGGCTATCTTTTCATTGGGTAAGGAACAATACACCATTAATTTGTTGCTGCATATATCAAGTACGTGCACTTGGTATATTTATTTGATATTTGTTTGGAACTTCATCGAATTTGTACCGCGATCGCGATTGAACATTTTCAATTGGACATTTTGCATTTGTTTCGGTTTATTTACTGTATTGTATATTTTTTTTGTATTTTGTAAACACCAATTTTATTTCTGGTATGTTTTGTATTAATAATTGTGCTTATTAATTATTTGTATGCGCCACATTGTTAATTTGTTTTTACAACGTTAAAATATTATATCCTTATTTAGGTTGATTTTTTGTAAGATTATTAATTATTTTGTTTTGTCAGTGGTTGTTTATAGAATCGACATTTTTGTTTTGGTTTGTTTATGGTTGTCTCTTGGTGTGTTTCATAGTAGTTTAGAAGTTTGTAATATATTCTTATTATTTTAAGTAATATATTCTTCTTTAATTATAATTGTATGTGGTTATGTATATTTATGTTTTAATTTCATTGCTTTTATAAATAGAGTTTTATTCAGTCCATTGGCTTTGATTTATTTTCTTTATTTTAATATACATACCAATTCGAAAGGGGGAAACCAGCGAGTTCTAGATTGAACAGAATATCATTCTCTCCCCCTTCAGGATGACCCCAATTGTTATATCGAGGTCATCGTATGTGCAGTACGCAACAGAGCCTATTGTCTTTATTTAGTTTATTTTATTCTTAGTTTAGTGTTATTAGACATAGTTTTAGTTTAGTTTCTATATTAATTATTTATAATTTAGTATATAATATTAACACTAAATTTGATATACCCCGTCCACTACCTCTTCGTAAGAGCCACCGACGAACCTAAAGGCGACTGATCTTTTCTTCTTACTAATAGTTGTACGCAGTTGTTGCCGGCGTATTATTATTAAAAGTGAGGAAACCAATGCAAACCAAGATTCATTTTCCATTATAAATCTAATAGTTGTTAGTTATACTGTGGATAATAACTATATGACCATAATCAAAAAGAAAAATGAACATTTACTCGAAACCAAAAGTACCTACTCTTTATTTACAACATTATTTTCAATCATTTAGTTTGCTAAAAGTTTTGTTCAAAAAAGTTCCTTCAGACATTCTTTTCTCATAAGAGTTTAATTTTAATCCTTAATGTTGTTAATTATCGTAACATTTTTTTTAATGGCTATCATGGCTCCTAAAATAGGACCTCTTTTTTTTCTCGAAAAGTCCCGGATTATTGAGATCATTTAGTCAAATAATCTGGACCGGCCTTAAAAATTGGCTCATTAAAAAAAAATTATAAACAAATTAAATTTCGCAAAAACTATTCAACCGATCTGGCCCATCTTTTGCACACAATTCAAAAATGATAATACCTCAAGTTCAGGTACATTTAAACAAATTTTAATAAATAATAAAAAAGTTACTGACAATATTCAAAAACAGCGATTTTGCTGTTCATTTTGCAATAAATTTTTTGTTTATTAACCGATTTGAATTAAGCATATCTCATTTTGATAATATCTTATACTACACATTTCAACTGTCAAACCCGTCTATACAGTTGTGTGCAGTAAAAATTCAACTTAATTGGCCTATATAGAAATGATTACGAAATTGAAACTAAGTATTGTCTATTGTCTGTGCAAAGAGTTAGTAGCTCCATAATAGCTGACACATTTAGATTTCGGGCTCACTAATTTAACAATTATTGTTTTTAAAGTTTTCTCCAGTGGAATATTGGTGAAAAGGCTGGTGATATTGAAACTGAGTAGTATATTGTTGTAATTGTAATCTATATCTGCTAGTTTTTGCAAGAATTGTTGCGAGTTTATAATGTATGTTGTTAACAATATATTGTTAACAATATACATGTTAACATTATTTTATTGCCAAGTGATTTTCATCAGACTCCAATTATTTCCCGATAAATTGCTGCTCACGAACTAAACGCATTGCCTTCTGATTTGTGGCGGCACGAAAACACACTCATAAAGTGCAATTGTGTTTTCAAAGCAATTTTTAGAAAGTGGAAATGGTAAAGTCGATATTGACACCTCGACCGGATTAGCTGAGTTAACAAGCAATATTGGCAGCAAAAAATACAGCTGTCGATGATCTTAATGCCATCATTTCGAATTTTCTTCTAGGAAAGTAGTTGTTTTCGTTCAAATCAATTGGCAGTTATAAACCAGGATGCAGGTGTCAATTATCCTACAAAGTTTTTGAATTCATTGGAATTGCCTGAACTCACACCTCACAATTTACAATAAAAAGTAGAATCAGTTGTAATTATGCTGTGTGACATCAATCAACCTGGCTGTGTAATAGAGACTGACTATGAAAAGACTAATGAATAATGTCATTGGGGCAACGATCATCAAGGAAACGTACAAAGAATAGGACGTCTTGATTCCCGCGTATACCGATGATTCCAAAGGACTTACCATCTGATTTTGAGCGTCTATAATTCCCTGTGCGGTTGGCTTTTGCAATGACGATAAACAAATCGCAAGGTCAACCGTTGGAAGTTTCCGAAATTAACCTTGTTTCCGTTAAAAAAAACCGTTATCATTGTATATGTACGCACCGCAAAGAAAAAAACAAAAATATTTTTTATCAGAAAGTATTAAACTGATTAAACTTGTTTCATACATAATATTTTTGAGTTTTTTTTGTTTTTTGTTAATTTTTAGGTATTGAACTTTTTGACACATTATGTATGTACTTAATTCTAGGGCGGTACGAAGTTCGCCGTGTCAGCTAATATAATGTTACGGGTAAACCCCGAAATTTGGTAAAACTGGTTTTAACCGGATACTTTGCGTATTATCCAAATTGGCTGGATAAAAGGCAAAGCAGCTTGAACTTCTTGAATTATTCGGGTCATGCTATATATACCCAATATCAAATGGATACAACAGTAGATTTTAAACTTTGATATAAATAACACTACTTACGTTTAAATTTTATTTGCTTTCCTTTTTTATTAAGAATCTACGACAGAATTATTGTCCAAAAGATATAAGTAAGCATTGAGAACTTGATATAACTAACAGCGACAAAAATCATATTCATTTTTACTCCAAAACAAAAACGATTATATTTATTTGAACAGGATAGCAGGATAACAGGATTAACCGGATAAATCCAGAATAGAACAAAATATTCACAAATATGTAGCTTTATTCACTATGCTTGGATAATTCTACTTTTATCCGGGTAATTCTAGTATTATCCGAAATTCGCGTTTTAACAGTAACACATATATTATATAAAGGATAAAGGTAATGCAGTGGTCGGATGTGGTTTTTTCACTAGTCTTAAGACAGGGTCTTAATACCACTTATAATATTACTTTCAGAACACGATGAAGGCATATCAGTATTTCCTTTATACTTATATATGTAATTCTACATCATCTAGATCAGTAAGAAATATCTTAAAAAGTAAACTTTACCAGTTGGCATTGTCCATTTTTGGACATAGGCCTCTTCCTTCCAGTTGATAGTTCCTCCATCATTTTGTAGTTCCTCGAATGTGCTCGCTATAATCACGATGTCGTCAGCCAATTTGAGATGGTTTTAACTTATTGCCATTAACGTTGATGCCATATTTTGACAATTTGTATTTTTGAAGACGTTTTCTAGGGCTAGATTAAAAACCTTTGGCGATATTACGTCATTTATATTTAAATTATTTTAAACTTTAAATTATTTTAAATATCAAATATTCCAAATTTTTGGCTGAGTAATTAGAAGGGTCTGGGATGTCAAGGATTAAGTGTCTGTTGTTATTCCAAACTCCCAAATCCTAACAGATACCTACTCATTTTTTCATTTTAGCGTTCGATTGAGTGTTGATGTGTGAACAACTTAAATAAGTTGTCACTGAAATATAGTGCTGATGAGACCCTGAGGGCGATGTATAATTTCAGTTTACTTCGTTTTGTGAATTTCTTTGCTCTATTTGCTAGTTCTATTTGTATTTTGTCATCATTAATTAACTGTGATGTTTAGCACGTATCCTTAGATCCTAACTCCTGTCAAGTTCTTGTGACTGGCGATACTTTAAGATATTTATATTAGCTACTCAATATCTGTCCCCCGGAATAACTCTGTTCAATAATTTATTTTACTCGTTTTCAGAACAAGGAGGTTCTACTGATCGACAGTAAGAAAAACTTAGTCATTATCAACTATCTAATGCATTTTTCTCTAATATTGAGGCTCTAGTGTTTGATCTTGATCAATGTAGTAACCTATAAATTCTACAAATTTAAATAAACTCTTCTTATTTTATAGCCTAGGTAATCAGAATTAAAAAATCGTAAGTCTTGTTAAAAATATTCACCCTTTTTATCTGTTTTAATGATTATCGAGATCATTCCCAGAACAACAAGATATTAATAAATCAATTTACATTCACTAAATTCTTAGTTTCCTGTTGATACGTCCGTCTGTATATACTTACGGCTATTATCATTACTGTTATTAGTTTATTACTCATGGATATAAACATCATTAAAACGAACACCGGTTAACTACGGGGGTCGTTCAAAAAAATAATTTTCCGTAATTTTAACTCTTCTAACTTTTACAACGCAATGGGTAGGTATTTTTAATCGTAAAAAATATATTTATGTAATCTTTGGTGTACATTTTAATAGACAGACGTGTGTATTGGTGATACACAAAAAATCTCGGCATGACTTCTTGGGTTTTATTTGCTGAAATTGAGGAGAAATTTCCGTCTTATTTTTATTTCATTGTGCTCAAGAACGTAAATATTTGAGAGATTTTCAGCGCAGATTGCTTCTCCTTTTTGCGTGACCTTAAAAACAAAACAATATACGTAGAAGTGTGTCCAGGATATCTAGAATACTAATGACAACTGGACTTGATTATAATATTCATTATAGATTTAAAGAAAATATCTCGAAAATTTATAAAATATAAGTATAAAAAGTAGTACTTAATGCACAAGACACGTAGCATCAAACTGCAAGTACAACACTTAACTTAGAAATAGCAACTTTAAGACATTATAACATTGTGAAATAGAGGGTCTGACTAGAAGGTTTTCACATTCACTAATTTCAGATTGTAGATTTAGGGCGATATATTTAGTAGTTACAGAGAATTAAAAAAAAATGTGCATTGGTGATTTTTTCAACTTCTTCCAATAAAATATTGATGTTTATCAAATGTTTAATTAGTCCTAACGCTAGAAAAAGTCAAGCAATTCGTCAAAGCATACTATTAATCGATTTCTGATCGAGATTATCCTATTTTTCTTTTGCATTAGTTCTTTCAAAGTGTCTTAGATGAATAAGGTAAAGTTGAAGCACTAGGGCCTTGCATTATTGTTTGACAAAACATAATTTTTGCAATATCCCACATACAAGAATTTAAAGAATGTTTTCCGATAAACTCAGTTATTCTGTCTATTAACATTCAGTCGAAACAATTTTTTATTATTAGTCTGGCGAAGTACGATTTGTCGCAGTCCTCATAAAGAATATTGTATACTTCTTGATTTTCCAGTGCAAATTTTGTTTTCGCAGATGGTTGAGACTTTCCTGTTGGTATTAAATATAGTCTCCATTTTGGTTTTCCTTAAAATCTGCTGATTTTATTTGTCGTACCCATTATACAGGATGTTTCAAAAAGGTAAGTCATAAATTAAATCACGCATTCCGGGGACAAAAATAAATTGATTGAATCCAACTTACCTTAGTACAAAAGTCTACACAAAAAAAGTTTCAGCCCTTTAAAGTTACAAAATAAAAACTGTTTTTTGCATTATCTGCTAAACTAGTTGACATTTTGTAATAAAATGAACACGTTACTTTCTTGTTCTGAAGCTAAAATTCAGCCCTAAATCCCCCCAAACTTTTTAGTACGCTCAAATCAAATGAATTTTGTGGCATCATTAGTTTGACACATTATTTTTAAAAATTTTATGCCTCTTATCACTTTTTTCAAAAAACATTTTTTATTGAGTTACGGCCGTTTTCATTAACCTTTAAAAAATTACGTGCAACGAAATAAATGGCTTAACTTAATTAACAAGTACAATAAATTTCTATATCCTCTATAAATATGATATTACAATAAATGTTCAAAATGACACAGTCATTTTCTTCAATACACAGTCGGTATCGTTTTAATAAGAAAAACCGAATGCGCTGAAAAATCATATTTTTCTGACGAAATTGATTTGCAGCTTCAATTATTCTAACCCTAAATTGTTGTTCGTCCTCCATTGTTACAGAATGCACTTTCTCTTTCATAAACCCCCAAAAGCAAAAGTCTATGGGGTTACGACCTGGACTTCTGGGTGGCCAAGAAATAGGTACATCACCACCCCTTCCAATCCATCGACCAGGATACTGGTATACAAATACTCTTGTAAATCGTTTGCCAAGAACTGCAAATAATTATCACCATTTAAATTGTTGGGAAAAAGTACTAGACCTATTAAGATTGTTCTACACAATTCCTGCCCAAACATTAACTTTGAAAGTCCTGTGGTGATAAGTCGTTTTTTGACGTGAGGATTTTCCTCGGCCCAAATGTGCTCGTTATGATGGTTTGTTATTGCATTTCTACTGAAGGTAGCCTCGTCGGTAAACAAAATATTTCTAATAAAATTAACATTTCGAATGTTTTCCATTAACAACCAATCGCAAAATCCAATCCCTTTAGGATAATCTTCAACCGTTGTTAAGTGATACGGTTTAAGCAGCTGATCCTTCAAACGCCTAAAAACCATTACGTGAGGAACGTTTAATTGAGCAGCTATTACTCTTGTACTTGTTCCAGGGACTTTTTCAATGGGTCCTAAAATATCTTCATCAGTTGCATCCATTCTTGGACGACCACTATTGCCAGCAACTTGCGGTTGGAACGTACCCATTTTCCGTAAACGATTATCAATGGTCAGAAATAATCGTTTATCGGGTGTATTTCGATTGGGGTATTTTACTGCATAACGTCTTGCGGCTGCTACACTATTGGCATTCACCTACGATATTCCCGTTAGTTTATTGAAATCATAATTTAATCTGATCCAACTTACCCAAAGTTAAATGCATATCTGCCATTTCCTGAAATGTGTAGGCCATTGTAATATCAAAAATTTTTAATATTAATCTTATTCACACAATAAATGATAGCTTCAAATTATTGACTATTCTTGATGGACTGTTTGTAATTTAAAAAGTTTTAAAAATAATGTGTTAAAGTAATGATGCCACAAAATTCATTTGATTTGAACGCACTCAAAAGTTTGAGGGGATTTAGGGCTGCACACCCACTTAAAAATTTTCTGTGCGCTTAGATTTTGTTGTTTTTTTTTTGTATGAAAAAGTTTTTTTTTTTGGCTTTAGGGTAAATACCCACACAGCCAGAAACAAATTTTTAAAAACGGATACAGGGATTACACTCTTCTCGCCCAGGGGCCGATCAGGGCATTTTTATAAACGATAAAAGGTAGGGCTCGGATAGATAGGTATGCATACATTAAGGAAAGACATAAGGAATTAACAAAGGTGGTTATATTTGTATATTCGTTGTTCTGACGAAAGAAGCAAACCATCGTAAATTTATTTTTTTTCTAAAGCAAGAAGATGCAGTATATTAAATGGGCTTTCAATGTTTGATTTTAAAAGTTTACTGAAAAGCTCATTAGATTGAGCTCTATATTTTAAACAATCAGTGGTCAAGTCACCGATTTTATTACAGGCTTCGCAAAGATCACTCTCAAGTATTTTTATTTTAAATAAATGTGCTGGATAACATGCGTGACCAAACTTCATTCTGCTGATAGTAGTTATACTTTTTCTACTGTAATTGTACTCATTGTACCAAGGTTTTCTCCTTAATTTGGTTTCAAGTCTGGTGTAACGTGTTGGATTTGTGAAGCTGTACTCTTGCCATAAATAGGACCATTTCTTCATCATTCTCTGTTTTGCTATGATTATTTGTTCGTCTGTAGTTAATTCGTAATTTATTTGTTCCCCCATTACTATGCTTTCTGTGGCAATTTGATCTGCAATTTCATTGTTTGTTATTCCTGCGTGTGCTTTGACCCAGAAGAATTTTATATATTTATTCTGATCTTGTAATTGTTTAAGTATTGCTTGGATGCTAAAAATAATATCATTAGTTGTGTTTGAGTTTGATTTTAAAATTTTAAGAACGGAAAGTGAATCGGAAAAGATTATAGCATTCTGATCCTCTTCCTGATAAACATATTCTAGTGCTTTTAGAATTGCTATTGCCTCAGCTGTGAAAATAGATGTGTTTTTGTTTAAATTGTATTTTTTCTGTATACGTTTAGGTATTACGAAAGCGCAACCTGTACCATCGGTGTTTTTTGATCCGTGTATATAGTGACGTAATTTGGATGTTCCTCTAAAATTTGATTTATGACTATACTATTAAATGATGCTAACTCCGAATAAAGTGGTATATTCACATCACAGGAAACAAAGTGATTAAAGTAGTCGGTCTCTAACTTTGTTTGTGGTTTTAAGGCCACATTTTTTAATCCATCACAAATAGGAGGAGAGTGTTTATGAATCCAAAAAGGCTTAGTTAGGTCGTATTCGTTTAATTTATACATGCTACTAATCAATGGTGAGTTTTTCTTTAGCGATTTAATAATCATTTTTTCAGCTAAAAATGATCTTCTCAGTTCTAATGGAGGTTCGATTGCTTCAGCTCTTAACGGTTCAACTGGTGTAGATTTCATTGCTCCCAGACATATTCTAAGTGATTTGTTTTGTATAATATCCAGCTTACATAGATTTGTTTTATTGGCTGTTCCATAGAGTGTACAACCATAATCAATTATTGATCTTATGTAAGCTTTATAGAAGAGTAGAGCTGTTTGAGGTTCTGCACCCCACCAAGTTCGCATAATGGATTTTAAAAAGTTTAGCCCTTTATTGCATTTTGTCTCTATTTGTTCAATATGAAGTTTCCAGGTTAATTTTCTGTCTAATGTGATTCCCAAGTATTTGACATTGGTATCCACCGGAAATTCTATACCATCTATTGTAATTTTCTGCATCGGTTTCATGTTATGCCTTATGAAGATTATAACTTTGAATTTTTCTGCGGAGATTTGAAGCCCTAAATCACTTATGGAGCTTAAAACGAGTTTCGTGCTTAAATTCAAACGATTAATGCATTCGTCGAGATGTTTGCTACGTGTATAAACAACAAAATCATCGGCATATTGTATAATAGTTGCTTTAGGTATAGAGGTGTGTAAATTAGTAGTATAAATATTAAAAAGTAATGGTGCAAGGACTGATCCTTGTGGGAGACCTAAATTTGCAGTTTGGTATTTTACTGGGCACCTATAATGTCCTCTGAGCCCTACTTGTCTGTTTATATATAATTTGCATATCGTGTTGGCAACTTCTTGAGGGATTTATAATTGTATCATTTTTTCCCGTAAGATGAACCAGT